TGCAGACGACCTTATGGTATGGAGGATAATTGAGTTGCCCAACGACTGCGACCTGCTTCAGCGTGACTTTGACCGCCTCTATATGTGGTCAGCAAAGGTCAGCCTTCCGATCAACCCAATCAAGTCGGTATTCATGAGCCTGGGTCAGGGTGTCAATGGCCGAGTCTACAATCTAGCCGGTCAACAGTTACACCCCTCGCCATCCGTGAAAGATCTCGGCGTGCTCTCACTCTGCGATTTGAAATCCGTTGAAAACACAAACAGACTTGACCAAAACGGAATGCACATGCTCTGAGCGCTCTAACGCAGCGTCTGCATTTGCTCCGAAGAGGTTGCCACTCGCCTCTTCTATTATCAGACCAATGCTAGAGTACAGCTCACCCGCCTACTGTCCGCTCACTCGGGGCGAGGTGCAAAGGATTGAGCGGGTACAGCAAGTTGCCACAAGGCTCATCCCCGGTTTACGAGGTGTGCCATATGAAGACCGGTGCAAGAGACTAGGGTTGTACACCCTGACTGACATCATGACGCACCATTATTACATCTGAGTGATTACCCCATGTTGATGCCGCTGCTTCATCTGCGCACACCAAGCAGCACACGAGGACACTGGTACAAGCTTGTCGTACCGGATTTGAAGCGGGTCGCTCACCAACTCTGCTTCGAGCGGAGGGTGGTGAATACTTGGAACAACCTGCCTGCAGATATAGTCGAAGCAAAGTCGGTGTCGGAGTTTAAGAAACTCCTGGACTCGCACTTTGCCGACTTGAGATTTCGAGAATAAGCATCATCATAATAGGTAGATTTGCTTAAAAGATATTAGATGTAGCTACACAGAGGCAACTCTACTCGCTGCATATTCTCAGTATTCAGTATTCAAACGAGACAGCAGCAGCAGATCGAATCGATGATGATATTTCTAATTGATTTAGAGCTTTGTTCGCGATTTCTAAGCACAAATCTTCAATCATTATCAACGCTTCGCCGTATAATTCTACCTGCAATTTCTTGTTCTATCGACATTTTCCTTGCCTGTTCGATGGGATATATCTTCAGCCATGTACGGTTTATATTTCGCCCAGAGCTCTGTTGCAGTAGGAGAGCAAGCGGTCAATATGACTGCAAACAATGCGCGAATTTGATTTGGATGTGACGTGTTGCACGCGTCATTAATGCATAAATTCCAGTATTGGTAGTTTTCCACTAAATGCAGAGCTTGGCATACACTGCGGAATGTGGCATGTGTAACGCCGTTGACAATTCTCAATTGCTGGAAAGACGTAGGACCAGGCACATTGACCAACAACATGCGAAGAAAAAACATTCACCTTGATTGGGATGCACGGTGTACAGTCTCTGTCTATGGTAGTTTCCTTGATAATGCCAGGTTGTCCGTCGACCCGCACTCCTCGTTTGTGCCGTTCAAATGATTTTCTACTCACATTCCAAGCGTAATAGGTGGGCACATCGGAATACAGCAGTTGTGTCGCAAACGGGTCAGGTTAACATAGCGTGAAGAAGGCAGTTAACGTTGTAACCACTGCATTCAGGACCATTTGGTGAACATTTGCGGCTGTGAAATAAACGCGTTCTCCGTTCTCCAGATGTACTGCTAGGTGAACGACAGCTGGACTTCGTTCATGTATCTGAAATGAAAGTAGGTGCCATACAGCTTCATTATGGCTTATGTATCCTCCAGCCTGACTGAGCGATTTCATACATGTGTATACCCGTATTCATATCACTTATGCCTCGTTCTAGGCCAAAGCTGTTGCTGTCGCTGCTCTTATTCACGTACTTACATATGTTTCTGACGGAGTTGCAGTATTCCACGTTTATGTGCGTCTTGTAAGTTTTTGATAGTAAAGACGAATATGAAACAACCTACCCGTTATCAACTTCAATGTCACCGATTCGCATTTGCATAGTGACTACGTTACCGCCGTCTTCTGCTGATCGTCTTCTTTAAATCGTGTATTATGCCCATTTAGACAAAAGAAGACTTGTGAAGAGATATCTCTTTTCGATAATTCCCGTTAGGCATTTACATTTATAAATATGATTAGGCAAACGGGGAAGCTAACTGGAGCTCGAGTGATAGTGATTGAATGGCAATTTATATAGGGTCAATGAAGCCAATCGATAGTCATGTCAATGAAATCAGGTGGTAGAAGTTACGGCACCGCATCTCGCGTATACAAATAGACAAACAGCGAAGGCAAGGACACAAGGGCTGACGAGGAACAAAACTCACAATTGGCCGGGGTTTCTGTCAGATACGGAGAGAACCTTGGACACGGCCAGGGTAAACTGAGAGCTTGTATTAGCGTCCTTTGCTTGCATAACTCAGGTTGTAATAGGCTAATCGCCATTGCTTCGACAGTGGCCAGCAGGCGTTTCCTTGGTCCTTCGGGAACTCGTCTCGACACAGTGTAGATCACCTTGTATCCGTCTTCTGTCCGAATCTAATGCCCAGTAGTAATCAGATGCTCGAGGATAGCGCTTTGGACATTCTTAACCGTGCCATGTTGTAGAGAGGCAGAACATTGTTTTGCTACCGTCTTAGACAGGCGCATGGTCGTGTGCCCGAGGTACGTTGCACCACAGTTGCATGGACCGGCTCCTGCGCTGACCATTGGTGAGGATCAGCTAGAAGTCGTTCAAAAATTCAACCACCTGGGTGGGTGCATCAGCGCCCTCGGAATCGACGATGAGATCACGAACCGTATAGCAAAAGCTCGTGGCGATTTTGTTAACCTTCGCCATCTATGGCGCCGGCGCGACATCACTCTCTCCCTGAAGGATAGAGTATAAATGCAGCGGTACGTTTAAACCTACTATACGGTTGTGAAACCTGGCCCATTAGATCGGCTGACATAAAGAGGGTAATTAGGTTCGACCACCGATGCCTTCGCAATCTAGCTCACATCTGGCGGGAACACCGTGTGAGCAAGGAGCGTGTTCTACGCCTTGTTTACGACACAGGAAAAGGAAATGAACCGCTCAGCACCGTTATTTCACGCACCAGGCTCCGATGGCTGGGCCACGTGTTACGCATGCCAACCCACCGACTCCCGCGACTTGCGTTGTTTGCGCGCCGTGAGTGTGGATGGAAGAAGAAGAAAAGGTGGATAAGCGATGACTTGGTCGAGAGGAATGCAGGCCCTCACTTCTGAGCTGGCCTCGGTTGGAGCTTCTGGGCTCCCTAGTTGGGGTCCGAAAGACAATGAACACGTTTGGCTGGATACAATTGCTGACATGGCTAGGATCCGATCTCATTGGCGTTCGTGCTATGAGTTTCTTCGTCCCTCCCCATCCCACTTAACCTCCTCCACTAACCACTATCTCATTTCTTAGAATAAAATAATTTTACATAGTAATTTTTGTTGTTGTCTAATAGCTGACTGGTAGTTTACCGGAATGATGCCCATCCCTTACTGGTAGGTCAGCTGGCATGTATCTGTTACATGTTTTGTTCGTTTATGTATTGCGGCACAGTAGCTGAGATGTCGGCCGGTGGCCGAGTGGTCTGCACGTTTGCTTTGCAACCATAAGGTCACCGGTTCGAATCCGCGTAGGGGTGGGCGTCCTCGCGGTATAGTCAGCCCGCGCGTGACTGATGGTGGTCGCGCGGCAGCGAAGCGCCGTTACGGCGTACAGCTGACATATCATCTATCTCTAGCTAACCTGTATACTGATGGTGAGTGTTCAGTACGTATCGGTATACAGGGTGGCGGTGGGTCATAGTCTTTCAGGACGGACTTGGACGGGATGGTTGAAACAAATGAGAGGCCAATGACAAATGTTCATGTTTGCTTAGGGATACACACGAAAACAAGAAACCGAATGGACTTGGAGCACAAATTGCGATGCGCATTAGCCGAAACCGCGCCAACTATGGCAAAAATTGCTAGGACTAATCAATCTAAATCGTCTCGTTAACATAAATCACCTCTTGATTATTTAAAGTTTTTCTACCTTTAGATGATTGAATGTAATTAAAGATAGCATTCATTTTTTGTACTTTAAAGCAAAAAATACAATAGGTAACTATCGTTTTAAGCTAAACATTGGGGAGGGGTAATTTTTTATAGTGAACCCGATTTGTGGGTAACAGCCTCAAAAACTTCGTGAACCACTGGTCTAGACGTATCGTCACTGCCGATCTTTACCTCTGATAGGCCGATGCCTATATTTAAACCCTCTCTAACATATGGGATCAATTCAAGCGTCCGACCTAGTTCTATCACATCATGGTTTTGGATACTCCGAGTCAGGGTCTGCCTCATATTAGGGGACTGGGGGTCAGAAACCCCACGTATCATCGTTATTCTTGGACGTTCGTTTGTTCCTCACTGCTTTGTATTCAGAGGGAGTTTCACAGTACCTTCAAAGGTGATTCGAGACATGTAGTGGACCTGAGCAAGTACGAGGTTCTTTGCATCATATTGTAAGTTAGCTTTGAATTGGATTCTTATCCCTTACCTCATAGTAATCCGCTAGGCTCAGGAGGATGTGGCTTTGTTCCCCTTTTATGGTCTTCTCTCAATGAGTTTGTGTACACCACGAAACACTGGAGAAAATGACTGAGATCTCTCGAACTGGCCACTAGGGTATGGATACGACCACTAAACCTGCCGTTATCTTTGGCGCTTACTGTCTGTGTCATTAGACCCCAGTGTGGTTAAAATCACTCAGTGTCGACAATAAACCACCTTGCTCAGTCGACCTGTCACTGTCTATGACTGTCATCCGGTCGCAACCAATTCATCCTAACCACTCGCCAACCCTTCCTTGGCTCCCGCAGACACCACGCTAAACATGTCTACCTCTTCTGAACACCTTGGAAAGAATACTGCTTCAATTTGGTTGCAGGTCATTTGACTGAAAAAACCAATTACAATTTAATACCGCCGCATTTGTGCAACCTTCGAACACATTTGGCGAAAATGACGGAAATGAAACGTGACCAGCGTTTCAATTTATCAACAGAGGTTTACCAGATGGTATCCCCACCAGTTCAACCGATGTGTGCCGAGTAATGTGACTGCATGCTGCGGAAATGTCGACTCCGGTCCGATTTAGTCTACCCGTTATCGCTTTCTTATTACCTGGGGCATTCGTTGTCCCGTGCAACCTGTTCCAAGAGTTTGGGGGCAGTAAAAATCACATTAAACCCGAATTCATTCACGTGCGGATACGGTGAGTTGTGCAATTCTGGATTGTGTCCTACTCTTCTCAAAGTTGAATCTAGCGGACATCTCGCTCCTCCAGACGGCGAAACCTCTACGTGTCTGGGCCCAGAGGTATGATGCATTTGAGTAATATGAAACTCCGCGCAGTGTGACGCACTTCTCATCTCCGGATGGATCAGTTGAGGTGACGCACTCCGGTGGCGTCCACAATTAGGACCGAATTTCGGAGAGTAGGTCTGCGGCGGAAGCGTTCTTCTCTGTCCAATTGTGTGCACTGGGGAACACCTACACGATAGTGTTGGGCGGCACTGTGACGCCATTCGGTAGGTATTTCCCCACCGTGACCGGTCCGATTCCAACATCGTGCAATGTGCTCTGGAGTCAAGTTGCGCAGTACATCTGCTGTGATAATCGGGTGAACTGGGGTTCAGTGGACATTCCGCTAAACGATGCTGCCATCTTGCTGGCTCATGAAAATTGCATTCGCAATAACTATGTTCATTTCCGGCGGTATGGTTTATGCAGCGTGCTGCCTCAGCCCACTCAGATGCACATATAGGTCCTCTGTTAAAAACGCCTTTGCATGGACCGCATGGTACTGTATTGCTCCACTTTATCTCCGCTTTATCGAATACGCCTTCAGGGTACATGTATGTTCTAGTGTGTTCGTCTCCTGACAGGCCATGACGTACCAATCCGGTTGGCCATCTTCTCGACGCGATGTCTTCGAAATCCACTGGTTCTGTGTGGTTGCATCTGAATTTATTCGTTGGGAGCCATGAGCCACTAGACTCGGCGGTAAGGACCATACAAGCAGACGAGAATCCTTGACCCGTAGTGTCTGTTATTGGCGTTGCTCTCGCTTGGTCATATTCAAGTTTGTCATTTACCCGGTAATGTCTCGGCGCATGCTGTACTCCCCATTCGGTCATACTTTCCCCCCGGCGTTCCTTCTGTACCGTGTTTACCCAATCGGCGCTTGGATGGAAATGTGGAAGAGATGTGGTTTCCTTGAACCCTGCATCTTGTCCACGCAGGGGAACAGTCCTATCCACTTGCTTTGCCAGCGGGTGTAGTTGCGTGCACTCCGGTCTTTGCAGATTTGTGCCACTGACGGCCGATCCGGGGACACGGTTCCAAGTGGAAACAACTTGTGCGGACAACACTGGGATTTTTGTAACAGTGACCATTTTAGGCGTGCATAAGCTAAACTCGACGCTTGGAGTTGCGTACTCCGTCGTTGCAGGTCCGTGTACCACGGTTATGGTACACTGCACTTCTGCATCACTTGGCAGTTTTCCACATTCCAGTAGCACACCGTCGGATAACGAACATACGATGAGCCAGCGTTGCTCCCCGACCGATGAAGCACATTGTCGCTTGCATCTGATTGGATTGTTGTAATCCACGCATTCATGAACTTGCCTCTGGTTCACATCCGGAATGGTTAACAGGCGAACGGTAATATCTTGACTTAATGGGCGCATTTTGCATATATTTTCCCCGTTCCATGCAAACGGTTGCGGTCCCCTCATTTCTTTACTACAACATGGACAGCCATCTTGCGTTGTGTGAGGCCCTTGTAGACGTACTTGCGGCGTGATGTACCAGGCCGACGGTCCTGTTAACTCGGCAACTGAAGTAAAAGCAGCATTCTCAAATTTTAACGAACAATACGTGATTACCGGATCTCCAGATGAAGAATTGATGGTTTCTACTGATTTATCAGCAAGCTGCACGGCTGTAGCCGATTTCTCCGATTCTGAATCAGGTTCACATGGGTCCCTGGTCTCCGTGTCATACTTCTTCGTTTTTGATGGCTTTCCAGACTTTGAGCCAATACTTGGCCTATGCGTTCTCCACTTTCTCCAGGTGTTCGAATTACGTCTGGTTAACATACTACCTCTTCCTTCTGAAACGAATGTTTCCGGTTTTCCCCCGCTTACGCTTTCCTTTCTCCCGCTTACTGTAGGCGCAGATTTGCTTTCTTTTAGAGGCAATGAAAATCGACGCGACTGGCGGCGCATCGCATCTTCTGATGCATACATTGTGGCAACATTTTGCAGAGCGCATAGGTTACCGGCCGGAATTTTCAGCTCACTTTCCAATAACTCAAACTCCGACACAACAAGCTGTTTCACTTCCCTTCCCTTTGCATCCGCGTCAGAAATCGATACCTGTTTCGTTGTTGATCTGCTAAGCATCCTTGACACATGACCTGGGTTTTCTGATGCTAAGCTCCATTTTCTTCTTTCGTATGCGGATCCAAACTCAAAATTTCGCTTCGTCCTACGAGGGCTTGAGCCCAGTGAAATGCTGGACCATTCTGATCTGGACAACCTTGGAAATAAGGGTATTAAACTCTTGGACTTTCTTTCCGATTTGTTCGTAGTCACCACCCGAGCTGGTGAGAGCGATTTGAAGAACGAGAACCTATGCTTTGACTTTCGCTCTTCATTTTCGAAACTCGGTTGCACTGTTTCTGGATGTATTTCTCCACCTGATATCGGAAAATTATTGTCCATCTCCTTCGGTGTTCTTTGGGATGCAGTCGAGGTTCGGCTGAATGCCGGGGATGGGATTGCATGCGTCTTTTCCTCTGAGTCCGGGCTGTACAAATTAGAGGTAGAAAATCTTTGCGCACGTGATAGCGCTGATTGAAGTTTCTCGGCGTCTTGCGTAGTTGTCGCCGGATGCTCCACTTCCAATATGGGTTCTTGGTTCTTATCCACCGAGGATGAAATAAGGGCACTATCACTTTTGGTTTGAATTATGACAGATGGGTAACCTTGAGTAAACTTGAGCTGGCCGATAATTTGCTGTCGGAAACATAAGTCCGGCTGTTCACTAGGACTGGCCGCACGTGAGGTCATAGAATAGCTGATACGAATTTTATGTGTATAATCATCAAATGGCCTCATTACAGGAGCTAGCGGAATCCTGCCTGTTGGGGCAAATAAACTACACTCGCAGTCTGTTATTTCCGGGGGCCTATTTTCCGATGTGAACTTAAGGTCTTGGTCACAGTGCGCACCACCCTCATCACTTACTGTAGGGCATACCAACCCACCTTGGTGTGGCATGCGAAAAACCGTGACTGCTGTGGGACTCGGTGGCTCCGTTAACCTGGCCGAAATGCTGTCATCCGATTTGTGCGATAGAGGCGACTGAACTCGCTCTGTGAAGTTAGACTCTACGGACTGGGCGGTAGGAGCCCTGGGTGAGCCTACCGGCTCAGATATTTTTGAACTATGTACACTAATATTCATAACAGCCTGCAGGACGGGGTGCTCCAATGCGGCGGCTTGTATGGGTTTCTTTTGTTCAAACACCTGTTTCCTCTCATTATTGAGCACTGAGAGCTCCTGCTCGCTGCACAACACTCCGGTGTCGATGACCGAAAACACGGGTTGCTCGGTCTGAACAACACTCAGCGCAAACTTGATTGTCCCTGCTGGTTCGGTAGGAATAATATGTTGCATTATCGTCACTTTGTGTTGCTTTGTTCCCTGGTCGATGTGCGTACGCAACACACTGAATGCATCGGAGTCCACGGGCTCTCGTTCTCCTACGGTAGTCCTTACCGCGTACTGCTCCTTGGGAAGGCCGACTTCGATGTGTTGACTAATTGTGTTCCAGCTTGTCTGAATCGGTTCGGGTGTTATCCTGTCAGACGCTAGTTGTCTTTTCGTCACAGATGATTGGTCGAGTCGGGTAACATGGTCTGGGCTAGGGTTGTTGCCACCAGACGAACTAGGGTTATGCAGAGCCCAGTCTGTTACTTGATTTTTGGTGAAAGATGAGTAAACGGGACTGGGGCTTTCTCTGAGCACTTCGTTCGAGTCTTCCCTATCTTGACTCGACCAATTCCAAACCGGGCTAAGTGCTCCAGAGGGAGTCCCACACGGCATCTGGAATGCTAAGGACGACCCGGTTAACTGGGTGGTGTATGCGTTGTCAGGTGTGTGCACCGGCGTGTGTCCCTCCTGTGGGGATGCTATTGGCTCCGATGCTACGGCTGATGTATCAATCAGACGTATAGATGAACTCAGCGTATCAGTCAGACCGGAATTAAACACACATATGTTGGCGACAGCTTGTAGAATGGGCTGGCTTAGAATGATGGGCTCTACTGGTTTTTGTAACTTTGGTGCCTGTCGTTCGTGTGCCTGGGTTGTCGCATTGTGTTGTCTGTCGTCGCCGATTTCCATTGCTTCCCTTTCACCTTTATCTTGATGAACACTCATTTCATCGTGTATTTCGCTTGGTTTCTTTGGGCCCTCATTACTCGTTTCACTACACGCACTGGGCAACTCCTTCAGATCACAATGATATTTTGCCCTAACCGAACACCGCTCTGTCGTTTCAGGCCTTCCATCTGCTCCTCGCTGTACGGTCCAGTACACACTCCTAACTCTAAATTTCGCATTTAAATGCATCTGATACGTATTCTTATTCTCTTTACGCTGGCTTCTCTGTTCAACTTCTTTCCTTTCTTCTGACGGCGCGCTGCTCACCGCGTGTGTCGTTTCCAATGACACATTGAGTTGGTGTTCCGATGTTATCTTTTCTCTGGCGCTTTTTGCATCTTCCAACTTCCGTTGATGCTCTGTATAGCTCATTGGTCTACCATGCATCGGATTACGGTTGCTTTGGAAGGACAGACCTCCATCCATGACGGTATTTTGGTCTGTTGGCTCCACACTCCGTTGGTCATCATGCATTGTGGTGGGAATTACCTGACTAACCACCACGGTCGGCCGTACATCATCCTTTGCTTCTTCTAAACGTTCCGTTTCATCCTCCACATGTGTATACTGACACTCGATCTGGATCGTGTCATGTACCTGCAATCCATCAGTGGTTTGATGGGCTGCACTTTCTGGACACGTGCTTTCCATCTTTCCGCTTGCTTGTTTCATGTGGAAGCGAAACTGAGCCTGCTCGATCGCTACTTCAGTTTTAAACCGCCAAGATAGGTTATCAAGCTGCTGCTCCGATTTCACCTCCGCACGAGTGTAATCGCCTTCCTTAAGTATAGCATCACCCGGCTTCCACCGCTGAACTTCGTCCGACTCGCTGCTCAATATGTGGTCATCCGGTGAGTTTTTATCTGATAATGGGTGTTTACACTCTGTTTTGTTCGCACTGTATCTCGTCGCGTCGTGTTCGCACGCTACATCCGTGTTCATTAACTTATGGCTGACATCAGTTTTAGGTGAACGGGAAGTGCGCCATTCTCCAGCACCGTTGCGATCGCTGAGACCAGCGTTCGTACGAGACTGTTCCTCTTTAATGGTAATCTGAATGTGCTCTTTCAATTCATTCGATTGTGATGTGTCTGGAACCAGTACCATCTTTGCACCGTCCGTGTGCGACTCCGTCGGAGAGCAAGCTAGTGCCGGTTGACCAATTAGGCATGAAATAGGGAAGGATACAGTCGGTTCGTAGCAACTCGTTTTCAGCTCCTCATTATACACGTATCGGTAGTTGCAAACGTCTGCATATCGCGAAGTTATGGCGAAACATTCGCTATCTACGTTCTGATCCGCAGCATTTGCCCGTTGTCTTTGAAATGTGGGAACAAATAGGTCTCTGTGTCTTCCAATGTGCATCCGACCATGGATTAGTTCTACGTGTAGACTGTTTTGGGTCAAGTTTTTCGTCCATGACATGAGAGAAGCGTTGCGTCGCCCATGTGCCATTTGCTGGCCTATGTTGGACTCCTTCTTTGGTTCCATTCAGTCAACCGCTTCCCCTTTGGAATGTCACCGTAGTCCATATTCCATGCTAATTTCTCTGTTCCCAACACTGGCACGCCTTGTTTGCGAGCCTGGAATCTTTATTTAAAACCGATTGGCTAACCCGTGGTCGATCAATGATTATGTCACATGGTTTTTTTGGTCAGATGGACAGCCAGATATCTTTCATTCTGTCACTCAGTATAGCATTGTTCTAACACGGCGACTTCTCTGGCGTACCCAAACGGTATCTGTCAAAAATACAGCTAATCAACACAGCTGTAATGAAAAGCATTGTTGCGGTTGAGGACGATTTATAGTAGCTACACTTTATTTTCCTCGCATTTGTCAAAGCCATGAGGCTAAACGACTGGAACGAAGGCACAGTTTCACCGCGTTCTTCAGTCGTCATTATTATCATTACACCTTAGCTGAAGGTGAAAAACACTTCAACTGATGTGCCTCCTTCAATAGCTCCGGCGATAAGCAGTCATTACTGTGATCTACTTCTTAGCATCGGAATTGCAGTTGCGTTCATTTACCAATTATGTTATTCCTCATGCTGGATTTTGCGTCGTCCTATCTTTTCAGCACTTCTTAGCTTAGAAGACCTCTATTCTCCAAGTTTCTGTCTATTATAGACCGGGGTTCGCCTGGTACACTTAAGGTGTGTTTAATTACACACTCGTGTTTAACCAACTTTTGTTATTTTCTTGGGTGTATGGATTGGCGTTTCCATTTACATATACCGCATAGATACCCAGGGTATATTAGTGACTGTGTCTGGGCTTTAGCTCTGATTTCAGTGAAAATAAATTGACTACCCATCTAGTTTGTCGTTGTGCATGTACCAATGGGTCGTCGCACTCCTGTGGTCTGGGCTCCGATTATTCAGGCCAGTGATGTTTCACGCTTTCGGGAATCAATTTAACCTTCGATTTGTTTATTCTTCCATTCGTTAAAGTTCTTTAGTCTGGTGGTTGCACTCCCTAGCATAGCTTGTGCTTGCGTGCTATTTATTACACCAGGTGCTTCTCCGTGAACCTAGGCGACGAATTTGCAATTCACTCAAATTTGAAGGTAAGTATTCACCAGCCTAATAGCAACTCTTAGTCGATCCCGCTTTCATGGCCACTAAAGTTTGTGCCACATAGAGCAGGGGTGGGATTATTGTGTTCTCCAACCAACACCTCATGAAAGATTGCCATGTCTGCGAAGTGAGTGCCTTTTTTTCCTTAGGTCTTAGAGTACGCGCCGTGTCTCTGGACTGCGACACGCAATCTCGATTTAGGCCGCAATTGGCTTTGAAGCAAACTTTTGCCATTTTAATCACTAGAACTGCATTCGAAGTGGATTGTTTCGGAGCTGCTCTCTTCCATAGCCGATAGTTTTCAGATGGCGGTAGAACTGTTCGCTTAGCTTGGCAATTTTGTTGCAAACGTTTCGTCACCAATCGAGGTGACATCATCAGTGCGTAGATGAGTGACGTGCAGTAGCGTAGAGGAGCCTCGGTGAGAGTGCCAACCGATCATTTTCTTCTTGTTTTGGACTCTTCGGGTAGAGATGCTGTCCAGATGATCGAAATGTCAGAGGTTTGCTTCCGTACTCTAACTGCTGTCTTAAGCGCTGCTCGCGATGATCTGGCTTCGTTACCAAAGCGTAAGCCTCCTATCACTGTGTTACGGATTTCACTCATAATTCAGGTTGTCTCTGCCTGATCAGTCCAAAGCAGGACGAAGCTGCTCGGTTATTGAATGCAGTCTTGCTATAGAACTGCTCCTAAACTCTCCACGTTGAAGATCTTCTTCCCCGATCTTCCTGACGCTGTTCGTCAGTGATTCACAGGGTGGACCATTTTCAAACAACTATGCGCCACGCCATTTCCGACCCCAATCTGAGTTTGTTTCACCTCTAACAATTGGCCAAACTGGTAGGATTGGCTTTCAAGTAGTCTGAAGACGAGCCAAACGCAGCGCGTTATATATATATATATATATATATATATATATATATATATATATATATATATATATATATATATATACTCAAAGTGTGCTTCCATGTACTCAATGTGGAACGGACTACGGTCCAGCCACCGCCTTGTGTGCGCTTGATTCCCCAAACAAAGCGTGCTTGTGTTTGCCTGTGAAGGAGTGTGGGTCGGCTCCGTTGATGAAACGGGGCTCCCATCTACATGCCTCCCGGTCTTATTCCTTTGGTTTTACACTGGATTTGGGGTGTGTTAATGGAGCTGTGAGTGTTGCAGCGCAAGCCACACATGGTCCCTCTGTCGGCGCAGGCGTCCTGTGGCTGGCCACAGTGACAGGTAAACCTGAAACCGGATGCCGCCCACCATAAATGAATACGTGGCGTGAGAGCCCATGGTGCGCTGAGATTTTTGGTGGCTAGATCCTGATAGATGGTCTACCCACTGCTGTTACTCTTATGCCATGAGCTTATGTCCTGGACTCCTCGGGGCGACCGCTGGGTGGGAGCTGGTTTACGCCCTTCTCCTAGCTAAGAGCCAGGACACCAATCCGCATGCGTCAGTGAACTGACCCTGTGCTAAGCCCGCTGCCTTTCGGGTGTACATCTAATCGGAGGTTTTGGTTGAGGATCCGAGTCGTTCTCCTGTCAGGTGTGGGCGCCCTGCCAGTATCCTAGTCCAAACTCCATCCTCTATAGAGGTTATGAAGTGGTCAATGGCCTTCTTCCCACAAAACCTAGCCATGGGACACAACACGTCCACGGGTTATAAGCTCACTACTCGATTGGCGTAGAGCACGAGCGCCACGCATTGTCACTGACGGTACGAGGGCACATACGGGTGCTCAGTGGTTTGCTACTGCCCGCCTGAAGACAGGCAGCCCCTGGTCAAATTACTGCGAACCCCTCAAAAACCCTTCTGCGTCTGACCGTTGTCGCAGGTGCGTATGTAACTAGGGTCGTAGGACACAAATGAATTGTTCCAGAACTTCACAGACTGTGTGTAACGGACCTCAAGCAGATCCCAATGTGTCTCTGCAATCATATTATTGAGCTAAATCTGCTCCCCACTGCCTTGTGGATCGGGCTTTTGAGTCAAAGGCTCCAAGCGGAGTCCCTCAAGCAAACCCCCAAACCACCCGCTGCCTTGTGGGTCAAGCTATTTAGCCAAAGGCTCCGGGCGGAGTCCCTCAAGCAAACCTCCGAAGCACAAACACCATCACGCGTGTGATTGCTCACCAATGCAATCGTACGCCTGCGCGTAAGGTACTCAACATCGGGTGCTGAAACATGCGCACACTACTGGACCGGAACCCGAGTGAGCGCCCTGAGCAACGCACTGCACTAGTCGCGATGGAACTGGCACGCTACCACATCGATATTGCGGCGCACCGTGAGACCCCGCTCGTGGTGCAAGGTAATTTTCATGAAGCAGGTGCTGGCTACACGTTCTGCTGGGTCGGCAACGCCACCACAGCACCACGTGTTCGAAGCACGTGTCCACGGTGCACTTGCCATATTACACCATATCACATAATCCAAAGGACCCATACAAATAGCGGAAATACAAAAACAAATTAACCCACGTCCATTTTTACGCGGAAACCACAGATGATAACCTTGGATAGTACATAAAACGTACGGGAACGCTGTACTCGGCAAGTTCGCAAGTTGCGGTTCTTTACTATTTCCTATTGCCATTTTTGCCTTTATTCTGCGCACCCCTAACCGACCATCTGGCGGAACGTGTCAAGCTTCGGATTATTTTATCTGCAATATGCCATTGACCATTCACGTGAACATGGGGTCGGATTTGCACTATCCGATCGCCTTAATGCCCAGTTGGTGGGGGAACCATCTGGCATCAGCGCGTGAGCGATGACTGCTTTCCTACTAATCGGAAGAGGTAAGTTTGCCACCTCTATAAGCACATGCGGTCCGACCATGTGTTATCCTGATGACACGCGTAATCAATTCTACACTCTGTTATCCTCCGTGCTACGGTGTGTACCGAGGAGCGACCGACTAATTCTGCTGGGTGGGTTCAACATACGCGTTAGGCGTGATACATCGGTGTGGACAGATGTCATCGGTCCGCATGGCATTGGTTCAGCGAATGTGAATGGTGACAGGCTGCTCTCACGATCTGACGATCACGAATACTAGGTTTGCACTGAGTGCGTGTGATATATCAACTTGCAATGGCCACGCTCACCTGCTCGACTATGTCATCGTACGTCAGCGCGATATGCGTGAATTGCCTTTGACATGTGTACTGCGTGGAGCCGAGTGTAGCACTGATCACAAATTGGTGCGAACCAAACTGTACATATATTTTCGTAAATCTATGTATTTCACTCCCTCGTGATTCGGCGTAAATTTAACATTCCCTCGGTACTGTGAAGAAACCTATTGAGCTGGAGAAAGCGGTAGCTACACGCTTGTATGATGTGAAATGCATAGCCATAGTGGGCAACCTGTTGCACCACATCCGCGACCAAGTGATATTTGCTGTCGAGGAGACCATCGGGCGTGCAAACTGTAAGCGGCATGATTGGTTTGATGATAACAATGCGACGATTGGTGCATTGGTGTCTGAAAGGAATGCAGCATTTGCTGCACATGTGGCAGACCCCAGTGACTTAAGGAAGAGGAGTCAGTTTCGTAAACTTCGATGACGACCGACCCGAGAGCTCCGTCGCATAAAAAATGCGTGGTGGACGGAGAAGGCGAAGCAGATGAAATGCTACGCCAAACGCCGCAAACACAAAGAATTCTTTGACTCCTTGAAGGCGGTGAATGGACCGAGGTTGGAGCCACTGTAGACGCTAGTCGATGGTAGTGCATGCGCTACCTACGCACAGACTGCAGACATAATGCAGGTTTGGCAAAATCACTTTGACTGTCTTTTGAACAACCGTTCGGAGATAGACTGGCCTACTTTCCACTGCCCGAGGCAGCACGATGAGAAGGTGAGTTTGGCGGACACGCAAACACTGGATGAGACCCAGAGAGCACTTGTTCTGTTGCGAAATGGCAACTGTGCTGGGGCCGACGAGATCCCACCTGATGTATCAAAATGCGGCAGATCTTCGTTGGTGACTGTGCTGCATCACTTGGTGCAACACGGGTGAACTGAGAAGCAGGTACCTCCTGATATGCAGGATTCCCTTGTACTACCACTGCACAGTGGCAAAGAAAGCAAGCAAT